TGGTGTCGGCGCGTCTATCCTTCGCCCCTTTCCTCTATTATTTCGTAAACGCGCCTCATCGCAACAATACAATCTCGTGTGTAAGAGTACAAGAGGGTACATGTTTGTTCTGTCCATATGAAAACTTTTGCACTCACCTATGTAGGACTGTATATATGTATATATGCTATTTTGTTTTGTTTTTCTACTCTTTATTTCTAACAATCAAGTGGAACGTGGTAGCCGTCGCCAAGTAGTGGTGACAACAACTCCTTTGTTTATATTCAGTTTCAATAAAAATATAGGACGCTTAAAATGAAATGGTATTTACTTATTCACGACAGTGCTGACCATAATGTAACTACAGGGTGGTTTTTTGGCGCATCGCAACAAAATGCTGGTTGTTTCAACAATACGTTATTCAAAATAACTGTAAGAATAGCAGACTGGGCTTGTTGGTTTAACATATTTGCAGCTTAAGGCGCGAAAACGACACGGACGAAGAGAGACAGTACACACACACGAGGCGCTCCGTGTGTGTGTACTGTCTCTCTTCGTCCGTGTCGTTTTCGCGCCTTAAGCTGCAAATATCAAAATAACTGCTTGCAGCATACAACAATCGCACCAATGAAGTGTAAAAAATACACAGGAATTGGTTATCGAAGTCGTAGTTATCAAACACGAAGTAGATGTCGCAAAAGCGGAATTTCATAAATGCGCGTCACTTTTTACCATTGCGCAATGCTAAAGACACCGCCCTTGCTGATGAGAAATGACAAAGGTGCTCTCTTTGCCAATAGAGAAAAGGCGCACACGAGAAATACGCAGGCTTCGTCTGCCCCAGCAGCTTTCGCACCACCACGGCGGGAAGTCATAGATTTTGACAACTCCTACTAGAGCACCCGTCGTTCGCAGAAATCAATTACATCGCGTCCTCTCAAAGATACAAAGACGAAACGGTGAAAAATGTCTCCAACTTTTGCTACGAGAGCGTGGCGACACTACAAAAAAAAAAAGAGAGTATGAGAGAGGTGCTATGAAATCTTTCACGCTATACTGACGTGTACCAGCGTTGAGATCTCACCTCTAAATTAAAAAAACAACAACAAGAAAATAAGAGCAGGCGTGACCTTTTAATAACAGACCATTCGCCATTAAATAAAGCTTTCGTTATGTAAAATAGTTTGTTTAAAGTTATTGGTTTAGTATTAAAAAATAGAATACACTGTCATCAACATTAAACAGCACCAATTTTGTACAATCAATATTTCTTGGTCCCTTAATTACGAGATGAAGATGTGAGCGTTTGTTGTTCTCCTACTACTTGTATTTTTTTTTGAACTTTTACCCTTGTGCCCTGACCAACATGGATCCGTAGTATAAATAAAACAAAACATATAGATCCTTTAAGAGCCCTTTTACCTTCAGGAGGAGGCTCACAAATGCGCATAAGACGACCAATCGAAGGATTACCATGACGTCACACATTTTGTCGAAGTCTGGTAGGGGCTTTTAATACTTGTTGTTGTTGTTGCTTAAGATAGGTCATGCGCTATTGAAATAAACCCAGAGATTGAATTAAACAGCCATCAGAAAGCTCCGCTTCTCCAGAACTGCTTAAATATTAAATCGAGCTCTGACCCTCATATTTTGGGGCAGAAAGGAAAAAAAAACTTGGCCCTTCGTTTTTTTTCTTCTGCTAGTCATTCTATTAGCACGAAAGTAACTAAACTATTATTTATGAGTAACGTTTTATTAGTTCTGTTTAGTTTTAAAACTGTTTAGTTTTAGCGTTAATTTAAAAGACACCGAAGAGCAATGCGGATGATTTTTGCGGTGTTGAAGTACACTCCTGCTGAGGTGTATTCGTTCTCGTGTACGATCGTTGTTGACAGCTTTGACTCACGATTTGCCAACCTCGTGCTTTCTGTTTGGTTTCTCTTTTCACGGGTGCCGCTGCACGCAACTGCCCCGTTCGTACTGCTCTCACACTGTGAGTGGTGGAGAGGGAGCGGGGGTGTGTGCTCTTGGCGGCCGTTTCACTCTCGGCCACCGGCGAGAACAAGCGAACTGCGCGCGCCTGCTGATCTAGTCTAGCTTCCTCTCCGAGCGCCACTGCCGCGCGCACACAAACCCCCCTCCGCGCGCAGGCCGCTAGCCGGGATGGGACCGTCCCGGCGCAGCTCGGGTTTCGCTCGGGCAGCGTCGGGTTACAGCCGCCGTCGCTGAGGCACGCAGGACCCTCCCCAGCCGCGGCCCACCATCCTCCCCGTCTACCTCCTTTCTTCTTCCTCTCCCCATCTTCTCCTTCTCACTGACACACACACACACTTTTTCTGTGAAAGAGAACGGAGCAGAGGCTTTCAAGATGGCCGCTACAGTTCTTCGTCACCGATAAAAAGTGCGTTTGCGTGGAGTATGGCGAGTGGAAGGCAAGACTTACGCGGGCTTGCTCTTGCCCGTCCCGCAGAATCTCCATCCCTCTTCCTCTTTCTCTCCCATCTCCGAATCTCTGTATTGACGTCTCTCTATTGAAAGTGCAGAGGGAGGAAGTCCAATATGGCCGTCGAGGGTAACCACCATTAGAGAGGCGGCGAGAGGGTGAGGAGGTGGTTGCTTGACGACGAGCGCGACGCGCCATCTTGTTCTGCCTCTTGGCTCCTGGCAAGGCCGAAACGAAAGGCAGCCCCGTCGAAACAGGTGGTGACGGCGGGCTCGTGCGGTAGAGCGAACACACGGTCGGAAACAACCGCAGACCGCGCTCCTGCGGACTGAGCATTAGTTTACAATACTCGTTCCTCGTTAGTGATCACGTAGTCAGGAAAAATACGGATCTTTCTTACACCTTGTCATTCATGCACTGAAAGAAAAAAAAAGAAGGAAAGAAAGAGACAGAAAAGAGAGAAAGAGAAAAATAAAAAAAAAGAAAGAAAGAAATAACAAACAACGACCGCCTTTCGCAACTACGTAAGGAAAAAAAAATCCTGCTAGAGGGTTGGTTGTGGTCAGGAGGGAATTTTCCAGCATGCATAGTGTTAAACGTACACTAAAACTGAAACAATAAACCATATTAGACTAATAAGTTATACCCTGAGAACTCTATTGTCGTCAGTTTCACCAGTGTAAGCTCAATGGAATAGAAAATGAAGTTCAATGTTACATTTTTAAACCTTCGCGCCGAAATTTCCGAACGTGAAATCATGGCTTTAAGCGTGATTCATTCATATTTCGGCAACACTGGCTGAACGAACTTTTTTTGAAACTTAGCCTGTGGCCCCGTCAGAGCAAAATGCACTTCATATTCTGTCAGAACCTATGACGTCATGATCAATTTTCCAACCCTTTTCCCCACCCCCGTACAGGGTAGCAAACCAGTTCGTCTAGATTTAGCTCCCTGTCTCTTCCTTTTATTTATTTCTTTCTTTCTTGGCCGGAACTTCAATGTCGTGATTTCTTTTTGCGTACTTTCTCGCTCACCAAGCGTCTTCTCGCAATAAGCATGACATTATGAAAAAGTAATTCACAAATAGGAGACCAATTGTATTTCGGCTTTAGTGTTTCTCGAAGATGCAGAGTGCAGTCACGAAACGGTTGCGGGGCAGCAGCCGCCCGGCGAAATCTCGCATGTCTACGATAGTGTGAAGTTGGGCGTTTTGGTGATGCATAACTGTGCATGTCTTGTGAAATTCTGACACATTTCGAAAGTCTAGACCTGTACGTTCTTCGAAATAAGAGAGCTATCGAGAGTTAGTGGTCTTCTTCGTCACCTCTTTTGTGTTAATCTTTTTGCGCTACGTGAACAGTCTTGCGTGCAGGATACCGCAGTCCTCTATATTTAAAAGAAGAAGCCCAAGCGCAATGGTGAACACAGCGAACCACACCACTGTAGTCGAGTTGTTACCGGTGGTGTTGCACTTGCTCACCGTATTGCTCGTTTGCACGCACAAACACACACACTTCGTCGTGTGCGAAACTTGTTGGATATTATATTACGCATATCAAATAAATGACGTCAGTGCGTCGAATACTCATGAGAACATCGTCAGCCTGTGACTTTGTATCGTTGTACACAAAGATAGCTAGCTGGTTTGCTGTCGATCTACATGGCTGGAATTTTAGCTCAGCCTGTGGAACTTGTCACACGGGATATTGATGCAATGGAACGGCAAAAGTACTGAAAAGGGAAGGAGGAGGAGGAATAAATCAGGAAGGACAGGGAGGTTAGCCAGTGAAAAGGGAAGAATGCGTACGTACCTCATGTACTGCGTAGCAGTGTGTGCAAAACATTAAAATGTAGCGATGTGGTCGCAAGCCTAGAAAGTTATTAAGCAAATATTGCGCTTTTTCTCAGTCTTCAATAATGTCGTTTCCAATCCCATCGACGGAAGGGGTGATTTTTTCGTCCTCTTTATGTTTTCTCAATTTAACTGAGAATCGCTTCAACTGATGATCAACCACAAATAATGTCCCCTATTCCTACGCTTTCCTTGGTTTATTTACCTGTTAGTTCCATGAGCTGTGTATACAGAAAAACGCACCCTTCCGAAAATTCCACTACTTTTTTGTACTTTCGTACTCAGTCTTCTTTGGACACCTGCAAAAAGGGCCAGCAAGTTACGGTACGTGGGCAGTTTTTTTGAGACCCCCATCCCCCCTACCACTTCCTTTCCACTTCATATCCGAAAGCTGACACAGCAGTCTTGGCCTCAAATGGGGTTTTCGCTTGCCATCTATGTTTGTAATTGCAACATTATGAAATGCGTAGAGAAGATAAACATACCTGTATACCGATTTCGTACATAGTTGTCAACTCGCAAGATTATCTCCATACCTGCAAAGCTCTCCTCCCATCTTTCCCCTGCTTGGTCCCCGCTGTGTCGGCTTTATTCAAACTTGGCCCGTCCCCTCACAAGGTTGTATACACATGATCTAGAAAATTGCTTATCTCCATCCTGTGAGGAGTGTTGAGTACGTTGGAAGTATGTTTCTTTTTTTACAATATACTTTTTTCTCCTGCGCAGGACACCCCATCCTCAGTGCAATACGGACTAGGAATGGAAGAGATGATTTTCAACTTGGCCGACTCTCACTTCTTCTTCAACGACCTCGAGGTAAGAGCTGGCTCTCTCGTTTCTTTATGCCCGCTTCTAGCGTTTACGGCGAAAAATTGATTTACGATAAGTCATAATTCGTGATTGAAACATATGAGGCGTGAATTAATAAGACCAGGGTACTCTGCAACTAAAGGTCAACACTGCGCGCTTCCGAACTAGTCGCGTGGGAGAATTTGAGACCGAAAAGTGAGAACTGTGCATGTGCAAATCTTTCCGGATTGAGGAATCGGAGCGTTTTAAAGATATACAGTAAGGTACAAATTCAACGAATGTCGGTTAAACGAACTATTCAATTGTACAAACTTTTTTTCTTCTAATCCCCCGTTGAAGCGTCATTAGACCCAACGCTTACGCGTTTCATTATAACGTGATTATCACCGTGTGTTTTCCAGTTCTACGAACATATCTTGTGACACTATGTGATGCTCCGCACGCCATATTGATCAGAAATCGGCCGAAAGATTAGGTAGCAACAACGCTTTGCGTTTTGAGCCCTTCTGTCTACCGAAGAGTTTGTAGCGGGAGTCCTTGCTTAGGGAGAAGAGGAAGAAGACGTTTAGCGCTTGTAGAGGAAGCAAGAAAAATTTCAGCTGAACAAGCATTGATGTACTTGGAATAACCGAAGTCATTCGCTGTCCAGTAGAGCGTTGTGCGAGACAAGGCTCATAAGAGTTTGGACACAGCGACTGAATTTATGACCCCTGCAGTCCTAAGTGCACAAGTGCTGGAAAAGATTACTGCGATCCACAAGACATGCCAAGTAAACCAACATTTACACTCAAATTATTGGCATTGCAAATAAAATGGTTCATATTTCATCCCAAAAAGTAATATATTTTTGGCACCTGATAACAAGTTGCATCATAGTTGTTTCAATTCACCGAACTTACACTCTAAGGAACTTTTTCCTGCGGTATCTTGAAGTTCGTTCAAGCAAGGTTTCGCTTTTACTGAGTTGCGCGAAAAAAAATTGGACAACATAAGGAGGACACCCGGACACAGCGCATACTAACAAGTAAAACTTTATTGGAGAAAACAGACATATATATCCGGTTACGAGAACACGCGTGGTGAAAGAAAATGATTAGATGAGCAAACAGATTGTATTAATGATGAGCTTACAGAAAAGCTACCTCAGCGGGAATTAACATAACCGAGAGTTGCGCGACACGTGAATCACCAGCTGTGTTGATGAGATACGCCTCTTCGATTTCATTTTTTTTTTCGCACAACTCAGTTAAGATGAATTACCAACTCGCCCAGCAGTCCGTGCTTCTCAAGGTTTCGCCGTAGTAATTTTAGCCTGGAAAGCTGGTTTTGCGCAGTACCACGACGTACTGAGGCGAAGCGTAAGTAGCGCACCGTGGGGAAGCGTTAAAGTAGGAGCGCTGCTAAACGTTGCCGCCGGAGTAGATTTTCTCATTAAAAATAAAACAGGCATTAAAATAAAAACAAACACTCACACACAGGGAGAAAGATACTACAATTTCTGGTTAGGATCCTGGTTAACAACGACGAAAATCAAGGTCATCTAGACTACGCAGTCCACGATTCTGCCCAGCGCACTTCTTCGGTGTCGACCGCTTTTGGCTAGCCTTAACTTGCACCTGTACACTCCGCTTACCTAACATATCTTTTCGTCGTTTTTTTAGCACACGCGTTTTCTTTTCTTTTTCAATTGTGAACGGCCGATATCCGCGATGCAGACGCGGGCACTGCGCCATCTTACCGGACGCGTTCGCTTTTAGCGATGACGACCGCCGACAGAAGTCGCCGGTGTGCGAACGTTGTCACTTTTGAGGTCGCGCGCAATTATTCCGCGCGCCGCTGACACAAATGTTCGTGGCGTCGCACAGGGACGCCTGGATTCGTTTGTGTCCCTATTAATTCATTTGCGCGCCTTCGAAGGCAGCTACTTAGTGTAGGCCGCGCCTGTCACGTCGAAAGGACACGCTCACGCTCCGGGGCTCTCTTTGGTCACGTCTTCGCGCTTGCTGTGCACGGAAAATGTCCTTCGTACCCATTGGTGTCATGCTCTCCGTATAAAGCAGATGTGACTACGGAATGTGAGGCCTTCTAGAGGGAAAATAGCTACAACGTTGGTGACAGTGTGGAGCACTTTACGGGGCCGGGCTGCCGTGTGCTGTGATGGCATGCTATTAGTCGCTTGGCGTAACGTGAGCAAAACTTCAAAATGGCTTGTTGGCTCGTGATCCCAAGTGTTGAATTGTGCAAACAAGATAGGGACTAAAAGAAGGGACGATGACACACAGACCAAAAACTACCTCCAAAGTTGGACTACAGCTTGCTATCCACGAACACCCACGGAACCAAAAGGACGAAGATTAGACAAATCCGTGTACTAGTTGCAGTTCCCATCACCAGCGCCAGAGTTTCCTTTAGTGTATACTTTGGAAACTATGGTTTTGCCTGAGGTAATATCGTCGTGAAGGTGCTCGAAGAATAAAGGGAAGAAGCCTTCTCTTGTTTCAAATGTTGCCGTGAATTTTAATACATCCGCCTGACCCTTTCGCACAGCGCGGCCCGGCCGATAATCCTAATGCGTATATGGATGGGACGAAGACAGAAAAAAAAACTTGGATTGCGTCCAACAATATATACGGCAGTATATGTCTTGCGCTTAAGGTCGATGTATTCGTCTTGTGTCAGAGGAATCATTGCGAGCACATTTCATATTCCGACGAAATGCCTACACGTTTCAGTGTTTTCAACAATGTCGACTGGAGGAAATAAATGGAATTGTCTGGAATCGATTTCGATGGCGGTTACATATGTGAACTTCTCCCAGACCTAGCTCCACAAACATTTCACAAAACGCACGCTCCTACATCTTTCCCAAGTGTCCATTATTCCATGTTCGTCGTGATTTTCTTGATTCGGTGAACGGCATATGGATGACGGTCCTCTGCAATTATTGTTGAAACTAAAGTCTTCTTGAAACTTCTAAAAACAGATTATACGTGTTTTCAAAATGGTCCTTTGTGTACCTTTATGTAATGTCGTAGCAGATTGCCTCGAGTTTTTGCCACCGTTGATTGTGAAATTTGGTTAGTTTAATTTTCTTTGCGAAGTGGTGCTCGATCACATCATGCGGAAGATGAGATGTGCTCAGAAACCAACTGATTGATTTGTGGGGTTTAACGTCCCAAAACCACCATATGATTATGAGAGACGCCGTAGTGGAGGGCTCCGGAAATTTCGACCACCTGGGGTTCCTTAACGTGCACCGAAATCTGAGCACACGGGCCTACAACATTTCCGCCTCCATCGGAAATGCAGCCGCCACAGCCGCGATTTGATCCCGCGATGCTCAGAAACCAAGAACAGCTTGTCTTTTTTTTTTTTTTTTAGTGTGGAGCACTTTAGAGGCCCGCATGGTCGTACGCTGTACTATGCTGTTGCAGTGATCCCTCGCCTGCGCCAACTGCGCCAAAGTGCGCCAAATCAGGTTTACTGTGCCATCCTGATAATATTCTGCCGGTCACTTAGGCTTTGCTAGGACATTAGCGCGCATCTGACAAAAGTACTACTGCCCACAGCTGTATTCGTCCGTTCAACGAAAATTACGCAAAACTGCGCCAAAGTCGGACTTGCAGCGTCTATTATCGGCAACAGTCACACCGACGCGTCAAAACATGCGCATCTTGTTCTCGGGGCCACCAAAGTCGCAATCGTGTGCCTAAAATTATTCCGCTGAATTAACAGTGGTCGCGCGTGCGTCCTAAGTAATCCACGACGTTCGGTGCCGACGTTTGGCGCCGATGCAACCGTTCTGTTGTGCAAGTACACTTAATGGTGACACGCGCTGTTTGCGGCGTCTCGTGACGTCTGTTCGATTCTGTATCGTGAAACTGTGGCGGCGATTCATCGGCGGGCGTCGTCCGTTCCAGAAACGCTGCTGATAGCTCGTCTGAAGAGTTGCGCGGCACGTGATTAAAGCAGTTTTCACTAACTACACGTGTACTCGCCGCCATAATGTGTGTCACGTCTACTTCTGGGCATCCGGCGCGCCTCGAGTCCACAGAAGAATACGTGCATGGTGGAAACGCGTTCGCACTTTTCCTTTAATGTACTTTATTCATGGATCTTGATTCAGGAGTTAATTTTCGGAATTCCTTTCACCAGCACATTCTCGTTTGTAATCGTTTTTGCGGTAAAATCTTCTAAAACACCTAGCCATTTCGAACTCGAGATTGCTAGGGTTTGTGTTAAAAATTCCGTATGTTTTTTTTTTTTTGAAGTCATCTCATCATTAAAAGCATGACTCCTGGTTGGAGCAGCTGAAATCCAGTTTTGAGAGAGAGAGAGAGAGAGAGAGAGAGAGAGAGTGAGAAAGGAAAAGGCCGGGAGGTTAACCAGATATTAGCATCTGGTTTGCTACCCAGCACTGGGGGCGGGGAAGTAGGGGCAAGAAAGAGGGGGTAGATAGAGAGAAAAAAAATTAAAAAACGCACGCACACTCATAAAAAAACGAAAACACACACAGGAAGGGCGTCCTAGCTACAACCGTTCAGTAAGGCCGGTCGATCGCAAAAAGTTTAGTAGCGCTTTCAGGGCCCTCTTCTGTGAAGTCGCATCATGACGATACTGCAGAATTCCCTGCTCCGACAGAGGTTGATCATCTAATTTGTTGAGTTCCTTGCGAAGGCATAGTCGTTGTTTACTATACGCTAGGCACTCACAAAGAATATGTTGAATTGTTTCCTCTTTGCCACAGTGGCCACAGGCTGCGGTGTCGGCCATCCCAATGCGGAAAGCGTAGGCGTTGGTAAACGCAACGCCCAACCACAGCCTACATAACAGGGTCTGGTCTGCTCGGCAAAGCCTCGACGGGACTTGAAGACTTAGCGTAGGGTCAAGCGAGTACAGTCGGGCATGCTTGAAGTGTGGCTGATTCCATTGTGATGTGGTTTGCTGGCGAGCAAGCCTGCGGAGCTTTCGTGCAGCATCTGTCCTAGAAAGTGGTAGTCGCAGTT